TCGCACGTGCATCATGTCATTTCGTAATCGTTCTCGTCGACAACAAAATCGAGATCACCCAGACGAATCATCAGAAAACGACGAGGTTACCTGATCCTTTCATCCGCAGAATCGAGCATCTCGAGGTGTAACGAAATGAAGAGGTCGCGGCGGGTTAATATTGGCCATATCGTTTTATTCTCAGGAAAATCCAGGTGGATCTCTATCATTAATCTTCATTGCAATCGATGAATTGCGTTAGGAATAGTACGATAGTTTGTACTGTGCCTTCCTCTCCTTTTTCCTTCTTTTCTAATCAATATACCTGATTTTTTTCATTTTCATAAGAAGGAACAATGGATTTTTTCATTCTTAAAATTTACTGTAGATAGTAAACATTTTCAAATTTTTGATAGACATTGTTTATGAATATATATATATACATACTTGTACGTTTATAAATTTTTATTCTTCTAAAATATAAAATTAAACTTTATATTTTTTAGATGTGTTTTTATTAGAAAATTGTATATCTACATATTTATAGTATTTATGTATGAATGGAAACTATATAAATTTAATGTTTTTACAACATGTGTTTGTATCTTCTATAATATAATAATAAATTATATCTCTCAAATATTACTAGAAAATTAATACTAGTTAGCTCACTTTCTGTTGGCACAAACTTCTCAGCACGAACATCTTTAATTTCATACTCGATCGAGGTACAGGAATCCCAAGCGAACGCTCGTTCACTTCGTAACTTTGTGATGCATAAACTTTTGAATTAAAGAGCGCATGGATAAAAGACGAAGTATCGATAACAGGTATTGGAAACAACTTCGCCAGCTATCAGTGCGTTGTTCGCCAATTGAAAACTGTCAGCTAGAGTTATCGCATTTAAGACAACGGCATTTTGTTCTCCACCCTTCGTCCGGGGAATTACGATTAATGCGCCATTAAGAGAGATTGGAAATCGTTTCGACCCCGGAGACTTTCGTCGCCCAATGGCACGGACGACAAAGTTCCCACGGGCGTCCAGGATTTTGCATTCCATTTGCCGAGAACGTTACCCGGCTTCGCTTTCCTTTTCCCGAGGGTGCACTTGCTGCTAGCAGACTAGCGGTAGCCACGTTGGAGGTAAATCGTATTTGCATGAGGGTTTCTCCAGCTCTCCTCAGGTAGATTTCGACGACCTCCAGTGTTCTATGACACCGTTCGTTGTTTCCTCGAGAAAGTTACGACGTTCCATTTCGAGAAGGCACTTTAAATCGTCGCGTGTGCTCTTGTGTATGCAAAAACATCGACGTTCGAGCGCACTTCTTTGTCTCTAACTGAATAATCAAATATATCTAAAATAAAATTGATTAAATAAAAAAAATTCTCGAGTTAGTGAATTTTACAATATTTTACTTTTTTATAACAAAAAATAAAAATAAGTTAAATTAAAAATTCTTAATTTATAAAATATGAATATTATTAAATTACTTATCTATTACTTATTAATTATTGTTAAATAATCTTTTTTTTTAATTTCGCTTTAGAGTTAGTAATGGCGAAACTAAAATTTCGTTTTAAATTACAAGTATTTAATCATTGCGACATGACAATTGAATTGCAAGATCGATAGGATTAAAACGGTATTTACGACACCAAAGCATTTCGCTGTATGTTTATCGTGAAGTAATCGTAAATTGCTATTGCACTTCTGCAGAAGAAATTGCGACTCGGTAGAAGCAAAAGATGGCAGCTGAATGTTTACGAGAAAACGGGATGCGCATACCTAGTTGATATTATTATGGCATTGAACTTGGCCCCGTGCCTGAAACTTTTTAATTTATTCGTGCAACCTTTGCTTTTGGAGTTTGTTAACCCTTCGCGGTCGTTGCCATTGGAGCAACGTCGCGTTGTGGCGGCTGCTTGTTTTGCTGCTTGGTGATATATCATTCGATGCGGTGCATCGAGTAGAATGTTCTCGAGCGAGCATTTTGCAATGTTCAAAGTTGAAAAAATTACGATTTTGAAAAATTATGAAAC